ATAATCCAGGAATACATGGACCTGGAACTTGGGTCATCTCTTAGTCAGGTTTTCTATTGCTGAGAAGAGACACCATGACCACGGCAACTCTTATAAAGGAAAACATTCAGCTGGGACTGGCTTACAGTTCAAAGGTTTAGTCCATTATTGTCATGGCAGGAAACATGGTAGAATTCAGGCAGACATTATGCTGGAGAAGGAGCTGAGAGATCCACATCTGGATCCACAAAGCCGACCCCTAGTGCCACACTTCCTCCGTCAAGGCCACACCTCCTAATCCCTGTCAAATAGCACTTCTCCCTAATGGTCAGGCATCCAAATATACGAGCCTATGGGGCCGTTCCTATTCAAACTACCACAGATCATGAGTCACAAACCTGTGTTTATCATGACTCTACAGGTTTGCATGGGCCATGAGAGACTATCATTAGATGTCATGCTGTCTGAGTGTGAGAAGGGGGGCAGGGATTTTGCTCTTGGCAGATGCAAGCACAGAGATTCAAGATGAAGTGTATGGCCCATAATCACCTGGAAAGTCTGACACATCACAGTCATTTTTGGCTTTTATCTCTGCCAGAGCATCATTGAGACAAACACTGTTTTGTCCAAAGACTCTATCTTCCTGGTGGGTAAACTCTTTCCTAGGATTGGAGCCATTTCTCCTGGAGACCGATAGTTAAGACCTGGGAAGTAAACAACTCACAAGTTTCAGGCAGTTCCTCAAACTTACAGACTTCACAAGGCCCCTTCCCCAGGGTAATGCGAACAGTAACATTTGATCCCACAGGGTAAACCTGGACTAGTCTCACAGGGAACTCCAAGGACGTGGCTTCTCTGATTGTCCCTCATTTGAGCCATGTGCTTGTAGGAAAACCCCAGTAAACTCCATGCTTCACTAAGCTAGACCTGAGTGGAATGTTTTCTTTTATCTGTCCTTGCTCTGTCTAGGGTGGGCTTGTTCACATCTCCCTGGGAAGAGCCACGTGACACAGAAAAAAAAAAAAAAGCCTAAATGAGTAGATGGTTCTGGAATATCAAGGTGTGTAATACCTTTGGCTTCCCTTTGGCCTCTGGCAAGTGTAAACTCACACCAGCCTTTCATAACAGTCTAGAGGAGGAAGATGTGAACTCAGTTAAGACTCTCACTAGGGACACATGTATACCCAGGCAAGACAGGAAACAGGATAGGTGCCGAGTGGAGTGGCCAGTCCAAGCGACAGGAGGAGGATCCAGATGTGCCCTTGTCTGTTAAGCCAGATGTTAGACTCCCCGCATGTATTGTTCTAATCCCTCCTTTCCTGAGGACAGCGTCTATGCACTTCAACTGTTCAGCCCCAGCTCAGGGGTCTCCTCTAACCCTCAATTCCTTTTTATACTCTGGCCCCTCAGCTCTGCCTTCCAATGTGCATAGAATCTGCACTACTTCCCACTGCCCCTGTTCACACACCTCCCTACACCCCAGACCCTCCAGGAGGACACAAGTCTGAGGGGATAGTGGGAGGGGGGCACCCAGGCTGTTCCCACACTTCCGGTGCCACATAGGAACCCCTAGATTGAGGACCTGCAGCCCCATGGTCCAAAGTCTTAGGCAGAGAAAATATCAAGTTTCAGGCCAGCCTGAACTACATTGTAAGATCCTATGTCAATAAATAAACAAATAAATGCAAAGAGGGTTGGGAAAACGGCTCCTCAGGTAAGAACCCTGGCTGTACAACCACGAAGACCTGAGTTCGGATCCCCAGAACCCATATAAAAAGCCAGGTATGGCTGAATGTGTATGTGCAACCCCAGTCCTGTGGAGGATCGGGACACGAGGGTTACTGGGACTTTCTGGTTGTCCATGTACCTCCAGGTTCATCATGAGACCCTGTTTGAAGGGAGCGAAGGTAGAGAATGATAGACCATGACACCTGACATCCTCCTCTGACCTGGGCATATGTACACAACCTACACACACACACACACACACACACACACACACACACACACACACAAACTCTCTGGCATCTGTTAATCTTGCTTAATTTCCCCTCCAATACTCTTACCTGTAAGCATTTTTATGTGTGTGTGTGTGTGTTTGCCTGCCTGCATGCATGTGCAACACATGTGTGCAGTACCCAGAGATGCCAGAAGAGGACATCAGATTGCCTGAGACTGGAGTTACAGACTGTTGTGAGCTCCCACTTGGGGACTGGGAACATCTCTCCAGGCCCTTTTAATCAATATATTTTGAAACAGGTCTCACTATCCCAGGCTGGCCTCCAACTCACTATGTAAGTGAGATGACCTTGAACTGCCTCCTGAATGATAAGATTACCATGTACACGCCCACAGCTCATGCTGGGGTGGAACTCAGGGCTTTGTTCCATGCCCCCAGCCCCTCACTTAAATATATTAGTTGACATGTGTTATAGGCTGTATCTTCCATTTTTACACCTTTTTGTGTGCAGCTCAATAGCATTAATACAGTCACAGTGTTACGGACCATTGTGATGTCAAAAATTGCTACCATCTCCAAACCAAGCTCATAAACTCATTTCTAACTGCATTTGCCCGGTTCAGGCACCACGAGTTAAGCTGAGACTTTGTGTCACACTGATTTCTTTCTGATATCCTCAGGGGTCCATCACACTGTGACACAGGTGCCACCCCTGTCTACAGCTGGGCAAGTACAGCTCTCAGAAGAAGTACAGCTGGAAATCATGGCTTTGGATCCAGTTACAGTGACACTCCAGCAAGGCAAGGGAAAAATAAGCCAGTTGGGCTTTGTCAAAACCAAACATGTTAGAGTCCCTCAAGGGACACTATGAAGCAAGTGACAGTCACAGGGTGGGAGAGATCATGGGCAAGTTTCACATCTGATGAAAGATCGACACCCTTATCTGATGCCATTTAGTTTTTGACAAATCATTCTATGTGTGACTTGCAGACTGGGTCTGTAGGTTCATGTTACACAGAAGATTCTCCCCTCTTCCTTCATTCCCTGACGCCCATCCTGTCACACCCTCAGGCCTCTGGGGCAGTGTTATATTTTTACAAAGGTGGCTGCACATCCACCTGTTCTCCTCACAAAGCAAAAATGGTTGCACAGCACCATCCATCCCATCTGCCCTTCCCACAGTGTATCCTTTGGAAAGCAGCCTGGATCTCATCCCTCGGCTCTGAGTGAGCCTGGGACTATGGAAGGAGATGGTGCCTTCACTAAGTAGTAGAGTCATAAAGCCATGCTACATCTCCCTGGTCTCTCGGGTGTCCTATGAGTCAGACTACAAAGTGGATAAACGTCTGAGATTGGCTTTTTTGCTCCATTGGGGGTTCAACCTGATTATTGCAAACACCAAGAGTCCCTCTATTGTTACTGCCAGGGTAGTACCCAATCTATAGCATGGATACTACATAGTTGGCTTAACACACACATGTTGAAAGGTGTATTTCCAATCAAAAGACGTTTCCAGTAAAGTTTCTCTGTGCATATGGGGCTGGTTTCAGGTTTCTGTCTGACTTGTGTAAAGGTATATTATGGGATATATGGTAATCATGTGTTTATATGGTTTTTGTTTCCCTCACTCTATAGTGTAGGCTGACCTGAATTGCATGGTCTTCCTGCCTCAGCCTACTGAGTGCCAGGATTAAAGGCCTATGCCACCACTACTGACTACATTTTTAATTTTTTTAATTGCCAAATTATTTCACAGAGGGGCTATGCACTTTATTTCCTCCGAATTCTTTTTTTTTTAAGATTTATTTATTTATTTATTAAGTGTACAGTATTCTGCCTACATGTCTGCCTGCAGGCCAGAAGAGGGCACCAGATCTCATTACGGATGGTTGTGAGCCACCATATGCTTGCTGGGGATTGAATTCAGGACCTCTGGAAGGGCAGCTAGTGCTCTTAACCACTGAGCCATCTCTCCAGCCCCTATTTCCCCAAATTCTTATGTCCTGTTGCCGAGTGTGGCTTGGACTGGCACAGTAGCCATGCCACCATGGCACAAAGCAGCCCGCCTTGCTGCACCCAAGCTTCTCCAAAGAGAACCTCAATGTCATCCGCCTAGATGACCATTCATTATCATAAGAGAGGTAGCACTAAGCTACAACAAGGAAGTAACCTTGAAGGTGCTGCTCTGAAGAGGAAATTTTACCAAGGCTAGCCCTGACTTCTCATCTCTCTGGGTTCACAGAATCCTAATCTGATTCCTGCAAATTATTGGAAAGAAGTATCTGGAATGCCAAAGGTCCCCCAAAACATCCCACCTCACCACGGTTTCCCAGTCTCCAACTCAGATGCCCCCTCACTATGCGGGCAATTTCCCTTCCAGGGGCCAGAGAGCCGGTGGGAAGCTCAGAAGAATCTCTGTGGCCCCGGGCCACCCAGAGCACCCAGGGAGGGTCAGTGGGAGGAGGGCCCAGGATGCAGGAAGAAACCCTGGGCCTTGGCGTCATCATCCACCTGGTGCAATGGAGAAACAGGAAGCCGGGATGGGGCAGGAGCTCCCATCTGCCTGGACCAGGCTCTGTGCCCTAGGGCTGAAAGCAGCCAGCCTATGTCCTATGGGGGAGGGACAGCAGTTCAGCTCTCTGGGACTGGCCCCATTATCTCTAGCTGTGGGTGCAGCAATGAGCCCAGAGTCTGTGAATGGGGATTCTGTGGGCCCTGCAACAAGCTCAGGGTTCAGCTCAGGGGAGAACAGACAGGGACCGCCCTGCCTGTGAGACCAGCTTACCCTCCAGGCCTCCCTTGCCGGCGGGTCAGAAGGTGGCGACGCCCCCCGCTGCGCTCCCCACTCTGTGTTGGCTGGGGACAACCCCCCGCACTGGGATTGGACGCCAAAGAGCCAGGCGGAGCGGGCGGGGACCCCAGAAGCCCAGGCTCCCCGCGTCCTGCATGCAGACGCTGTAGGCCCAGCCAAGGGAAGCCAGTGCCGGGCCCACTGCGGGCGGCCAGCGTGGAGGAGGAGGCGGCGGCGGCGCCAGCGCGGGCCAGCACAGGGGTGGCCACGATGTTTGACAGCTCACAGTACCCTTATAACTGCTTCAATGATGACGCCGACGACTACCCTGCCGGCAGCTCCGACGAGGAAAAAAGGCTCACAAGGCCAGCGTACAGGTGACCCTGGGGCAGATGACAGGGCCCACAGAAGCTGTAGAGGGTTGGGTCATCTGGACCTGACACGGTCTAGGGAGAGGTGGGATTCCTTCCTTCTGCGGGTGTTTGAGGAAGGACACACGTTCCAGTACACTCTGGAACGTGAGGAGGTCCACCATGAGGGGAGCAGGTTAGTGGGGTCTGGGTAGAAGTAGGGAGCAGCAAGGAGATTATCCAACGCTCCGCGGGAGTCCTGGGGGGCTGAAAGGGATTCATCCAGCAGGCCACTGGCAGTTTGAAACGTTCTTGCAGGGTCTAGAAGGTATTGGAGACTCCAGAGGACTTCGGGGGTTCCAGGTGGTCTCAGTGTTCAGAGGGTCTCGGGGGTCTCAAGCAGGTTTGGGGGGCTTCAGAGGGTAAAAGGTGTTGCAGAAGGATCGGGGTGCTTCAGGGTGTCCGGGAGACTCCAAAGGATCTTGGGGGGCTTCAGAGGTTCAGCAGAGGCTTTCGCTAGCTGTAGAGCTCTGGCAGGCCCTTGGAGCGCCAGTGGATGGGGATGTGGAGGGGTGTCCATCTGGTCTCAAGGATTCCAGCCAGCCCCAGGGCAGGACTGAGTTCACCAGCGCTCCTGCGGCTTCAGCGCCACCCCGCCTGATGCAGTCCCTCTGTCTGGCACCCCTGTCGCAGCTACATCGCACTGATCGCCATGGCCATCCAGCAGAGCCCTGCGGGACGCGTGACCCTGTCCGGCATCTACGACTTCATCATGCGCAAGTTCCCCTATTACCGCGCCAACCAGCGCGCCTGGCAGAACTCCATCCGCCACAACCTGTCGCTCAACAGTTGCTTCGTTAAGGTGAGAGCCCCTCCCCCGCCCACTGTTCTCACTGGACCCTCAGGTGTCTGCAGTCATCCTGGGTGACGAAAGGGGGAGGGATGTCACCCCCCGCAGGGGGACAAGTTCCTTGCTAGCATATACCAGAGGGAACCCGCGACACACTTGCCGGAGGTGCGTCCTGCCCCGGACTTGGGGACGCTCGCTGAGCCCTACACTTCCGCAGGTTCCACGGACCGAGGGCCACGACAAGGGCAAAGGCAACTACTGGACGTTCGCGGGCGGTTGCGAGTCCCTCCTGGACCTTTTCGAGAATGGCAACTTCCGTCGGCGACGCAGGAGACGTGGCCCCAAGCGCGAGGGAACCCAGGGTCCCCTCGAGCCAGCAGCGCCTGGGTCCCCGGGCCCCGATAATGCGCAAGCCCCAGATCGCGGGGCCCGGGTCAGCCCTGCCACACACAGAGACATCAAATTCAGCATTGACTACATCCTGTCTTCCCCGGACCCTTTCCCTGCGCTCAGGTCACCCTGTCACTCCCAGGAAGTCAGGTATCCAGCTCTGGATACCCAGCAAATGAGCTTCCATTTTTGGGCAGCATGAGGTGGCCTCTGGAGCTCTGCAGTCAGTTGAGGACTTGGGCCTGATCCTCCCCTAAAGGCAGGACTTGAACCAGGCATCTTGAATCAAGAACCCTGGACATTGCCACATCTACATACTTCTTCCCAGACAGCCCTGGGGACTCAGCTCTACATTTGGAGGGAAGATCTGGAGACCTTCTTATAAAAGGTATTTATGGTGGTGAATAAAAACAGTTCTCTCACAGGAAAATCTGGCTCGGATTCAGCTCCACTCCAGGATTTGCTGTGGGACTCACTGAAACTCCCTGCACCAAGCTGTAAAATCACCTGAGGCTCCCTGGAATCAGGTAGCATTTTGTCCTCAGCCATGTGGCAAGTGGCTTTGTAGACATCTCCATTCCAAAGTTAAAGTGTACTCACATGAAGCTGGCTAAGGCCTTCCCTGTAAAAATAATGAGATTTAAAACAGCGAAGACAGATGTTAATCTGTCCTGTGGCTATTACTTACCCCAAGGCTTACATTGATGTCAAGCTTTAAGTGACATAATCAGAAGTGTCCTGTGTTCTCAAAAACAAAATGTACCTCCCAGCTGCGGCATGAGGACGCAGGCCTATCATCCCAACATTTAGGAGGCTGAGGCAGGAGGATTACAAGTTCAAGGCTCACCTGGGCAAAATCAGTGAGGCCTTGCTTCAAAATAAAAAGATAATAAAAAACTTTAAGTGGCATGTAATTTCTATACCGGAAAGAGAGGAAGAAAGGAGGGGAAGTGGAGAGGGAAAGGAACTTTATCTTGGTTCTACTCAGTCCCTACCAGCTTCCTTGCGTGCAGGTACCCTAGCCTGGGATAGTACCACCAAACTGCACAGTGAAGTGCTCAAGACAGGAGTGGAGATATACTCCACTTGAAGTGTAAATGATTTTATTATCATTGAAATGGGCAGTTTAAAAAACACAGTTAGGCATGCCCACCATTCCCATTTTTCCACCAACCTATTTTTTTTTTTTTTTTTTTTTTTTTTTTTTTTTTTTGCTGCTGCTGCTGCGTTAACTGTTTGCTGTGGCTTAATTTGAATGTTAGCAATCTCATGCACTCAGTGACTATTTCCTTGAATGACATAAATCGCTCCCCAACCAGACTGACTGTCTCAATTGAGAATTACAGTCCTGGTTTGGTTTAGAAACAGGCTGCACGAAAAGAAAGGTGGCCGAGGAAGGATGGAGTCACAGGACAGATCTCTTAGGCCTAGCTACCATTCAGCCTGCTGGAGTAATTAATCCCTTTGCTCCCATGCCTGTTCCATAGGGCCCTTACTGGCCTGGGAAAATAGAAGGGGTTCTGGGGCTCTGGGGCCCTGCTGCCGGTCTCCTTTAAGGAGTAAACCTGCTTTCTGACCTCCAGGCTCTGCTGAGCACAGCTTCTGCCTGGAAGCTGTTCCCTAGCCCAGCCCAGAAAGACGAGAGGAAGCCCTCCTCCAAAGCCCATTCCAAAGGTGCAGCTCCTTGCACCCCTTGCAATACCACCTGAGGCTTTCCAGAATGCTTGTGGGCTCTGCCATATTATGGCCAGGTATAACATGGCACCTAGAACTGTGCCTGCCCTATGCAGTCCCCCTCCTCTGGTCTGGCTTGTCTGTACTGTCAAGGTGGTCTTTGTGAGTCTGTATGTGCCTGTGCACTTGTGCACATGCAAGTGTGTGTGTGTGTGTGTGTGTGTGTGTGTGTGTGTGTGTTCGCCCACATGCACACGCATGCACGCTATGGTTGTGCTCCTGTCTGTGTCCTTGTTTTGTGTATCTGTCCATCAGGCATGCTAAAAGCATCGATTCGAGATGGTTTATGACACAGATGGTACACACATCAAAGGTAGCTCAGACAGTGTCGGAAGATATACTTTTTTTCTGCTACCAACTGAGAAAATAAAAGTTGTGTTTCATCTTTTGGATGCCTGCTTGTTTCCGACAGTTTGTTCTGGTTAGCAAAGTCTAATTTAAAACCAGAAAACCCCTTGCCCTGAGCAAGACAGAGGGGCTTAGGGAGACTCAGTCCCTCTGCACAGGGATTCACTGCCAAACTCAATCTCCACAGCTATAGATGGCAAAGGTGAGGACGGTGCCAGGTGAGGCTGGTGTACCTTAAGGTTTGCCAGTCACTTTGCAGAGGTTATCAATCATGTTCTTAGAAGCAAAGGGACATTTCCAGTTTGCCAGCAAATGCTATCCCAGGACGTCAGGAGTGAGTGGCATTTAATATGGATAACATAACAGGGGTGAGGGCTGGCCGTGACCTATTCAAATGTCGCTGCCACCACGCAGACTCGCCCAACGTGATTATAATTAAATACTTTATGCCGCTCTTGCAAATCCGCAGATTGATCATCGATACGTACATTACCAGCACATTACCCCGAGCAGATGTCTGCCACGCACGTGTCACGGATCAGTAGGTTTCCATTAACAAAGTTGGGAGGTGCTGCCAAGTGCAAGCTCCAGGGAAGGGGGGGATGTATTGGAGTTAGCATGGTCCCAACCAAAGTTCCTGGGCTGGGCTGCAAATCTCTGTAGCCCCAGAAGAAAGTAGAGAGAGCACAGCCAGCTTCAGAGGGCAGAACACCTAATCCAGACTGTAGTTCTCCATGTGGGATCCGGTTGGGAGGCCCAGCAACCTCCCTAGCTGGAAGTGAAGGAGAGTTTCCCACAGCAAGCCAGAATGTAACTTTGGGTTCCTCTGCTCACCAGGTGCAGCCCGCCTTCTGGAAACTATTGACTAGTCAATGTAGCAAACACTCCATGCTGGGATAGCCACCACCGTGACCTGCAGAAGCACAGGACACTGCCAACAACTGAGACCCTGAGAAAAGGGATGTTGATAAGAACCCAGCCCTAGGCTGGAAAGATGGGGGCTTTCGGAGTAGATCAGATACAAATGTGGCTACAGGGAGGCATAGGAACAGATCCCAGATTGCCCCAGGCCCCATGCTTACCACAGACTGGTCCTTCTTTAACCTTGGGACGACACCTCCTGCATTGGTACCAGATCTGTCCCCCTTACACTCTGGCTTCCACCTTTCAGCATCCGTCCCTTTCTGCACTGCTGGTACCTGGGATTGAGAAGGAGGCTGGGAAGGACTGCATCTTGGGCTGAGGACTGAGTAACCTCTCCATTGCACTTTTGAACACCTGGCTTCCTTGAAGCCACTTCTCACTCCTCGCATAGGCTACCTTGCAGTGTCCCCAGGGGAGGACACTGGGGCAGAGAGACAAGGGTGTTTTCTTCTGTCATCTGCCTGTGACTCTATCCCAACTTTTTGGAATGGTCTAGTGACCTCCTGTTCTGGGTCTCCACCCTCCACTGTGCCTCAGTTTCCTCACCGAAGCCAGGTTCTCTCCCATCTCCTGAGTTATGATGCTACAAGGAACCCCCACCCCCCAGGCCTGGGCTGTGAGGTCAAGGCTAGAGTGTGCTCATCTCAAAGCACGAGGGTCTCAGCACAAACATTCTAGGCTTAGAACACAGGTTGTAAGCCGTTTCTCTCCAAAGTGTAAAAAGATAGGTATCGTGGGACCCATGGCAATCCTGTGTCCCTTCCAATGTCAGGTCTATCTTGTCCAACTCCTACCATTCTGGATGCATGCCCCACCCCCTCTACCACTCATTGTCTCTACCTAGGCAGTTTCCTGATGGTCTTGAATGCTCTGTTGAAATCTGCTAGTCTGCCCCATATAGAGTGTTTACTGACTCGAATCTGAGAAATCAACTTCTGTAACTTGGGATTCTGGCCTTTGAGCAGATGTTGGGGTACAATCCCAGGGCAGCTTTTCTGTGTCTCCTACTTTGTAGGAGCCATCAAAGGTCTCATGAGAAGCAGAGAAGGCAGTAGCTGGACTGGAAAGAGGCTGCAGGTGTCCCTTCTTATCAGGCTGAGGGCCTATAAGAAAGTTACTGCAGAGCAGGTTCTGCCCAGGTTCACGGTGACAAGGCCACCCCTAGAATGAGGATGCTGGGCAGCTACTCCTTGCAGCACTGGGTACTGCATGCATCACACAGGTTGGGGGAAAGAGCAATGAGGGGCAACAGCTGTCCACAGGAGCCTGGAAATCCAGCCCACGTGGTTGAGGGACAGGCAGATGGGTCTCCAAATCACAGATACAACACCCAGTGTGTGCCAAATTTTCTCTCTGCCTGGCACTGCTCTGAGAGTCTCTCATGAAGGGTGTAGTAAACTGGTGTTAGAAACACTGTCTACTGAGCTGGAGAAATGGTCTGAGGTTAAGAGCCTGGACTGTTTTTCTAGAGGACCTGAGTTCCCAGTGCCTCAGGCGGCTCACAACCATCTGTAACTCCAGTTCCAGAGGACCAAACACCTTCCTCTGGCTTCCATGGGCACGCGCACTTGTACCCATATCCTCACACAAATGAACATGCATTTACATGATTAAAACTAAACCTATGACTGTGCTTGGTGGCATACACCTTTAATCCCAGCACTTGGGAGGCAGAGGCAGGTGGATCTCAGGAAGTTTCAGCCCAGCCTGGTCTACATAGTGAGTCCTAGGCTAACCATGGCTACATAGTAAAATCTTATCTCAAAAACAAAACAAAAACCTATTGAGATGGCTCAGTGGCTAAAGGTGCTTGCTACTAAACCTGGCTACCTGCATTTTGTCCCCAGAAACCACACAGTGGAAGGAAAGCATCAATTCCTAAACATTGTCCCTTGACCTCCGTGCACTCTGTGACACCTATATACTCTCACACGTCTACCTAAATATGCATAAGCACACAAAATAAATAAATGTAATACTTTTTAAATAGACTATCAACTAGCTGAAGTACTGTTCCAGGGATAAGGTGACCTGGAACAGCCCAGCATCTTCACTGTGGTTCAGCTGCTGAGTTGCTGATGTTGGGGCATGGGGTGGTGGTGGGGTCCCTTCTGGTGGGACATCACCAGTGCCCACCTTCTCTGGGGGAGTTACACAAAAAACAATAGGAAGGATGGAAGGGAGGGAGAGTGTGAG